CTGAATTTGCAGCCGTAAATCTGGCATCGTCTAAAATGCCCAACCAAGTGGTTTTGCTCATTCGTTCCATAAGTACTTTTCTAAGTGTGAAATGAATACAAGTAGCAATCCAACGTAACTAAAGGATGTTTTTATGACTTATTCATAACCCTGAGGGGACACTCTCGTGTGAAAACTTCGAGGATGCTGCTCAGAAAATGTGAATTAAACCCCTAAAAGAGACCAATCTGAGCGTGGCTCGAGCTTTATTTGACTACTAAGAAATAGCACTTAAAATGGAATAGGTTGGTTACCAGTCGCTGTTCAGGAAAGGAGCCCGCGCTGGTAGACCCCTCTCGAGAGACCCAGGATTCACCATTTTAGCAAATCAGTTCAATTATGCACAAAGTATGAGGGATCGCATGAAAACGAAAATTTGGTTTTGTTCTATATCTCTGGTTAAATAAATGAAAGTGCCTCAGACATTAAATAAAAGTCTAAATTCATAACACAATTGTGCTCAAACGTTTTCTTAGCGATACTTGTTATGACACTTACAAAGACGTTCCAGACGTGATACCGTCACCCCCAGCCATTAACAGGGGATGACTTTCTCCAACAAGTCCCATTGCCTTAGCAATAATCTTTGCTGAAGTTGATTTTCCTACATTCATGAGGTTTCCACTCGTAATGAGTCCCACGTTGCCTTCATCTACACGAAAAATTGTATTACATCAGCAACTTAATAAGACTGAATATCAGTTATGTAATTCATTTTTACATTTTCAACGAGAATCTTGGTGAAAAAGCGGTTTTGTTCCAAATCGTAACTTGATGTTCTTGTCAAATTGCTTAAATTTCTGAAGTCCATAACTCTATAATTGTTTCTCAGGCAAGTTTAGTTATTAGAATGTAATTATATGTACCAGAGACTGCAACATGGGCACTCCTTATTGTCCTCCAGACTGCGAAGGCACTGGCCAGCACGAAGGACGAATAGTTGGCATCAAGCGATTGCCCCAAGGCGATGTAACTTTGGAGGAAGAAAGGGACAAAATGTTCAGAGTTGCTGCATTGGATAAGTAATTCCTAACTGTTTTTACCTTTCAACATTATAATTCCGTGTTACAACTATTGTAACGACGTGAACAACTGATATAAGTGAACACCTGATTCTCTTCATTGCCTTAGAACTTAGAGTTGTATGTCTCACGTATTGTGACGTAGTTAACCGCATGATTTTTGACAGTCCCTTACATGGTTAATTATAAATTTGGCATACCTGCTATTGTGGCTGGGCCTGTACTTTTTTTGTTAGGAACATGCATGGAGCACCATCCGTTTGCAAAATAAAACCTCGTTTTCTTTACTTAAGTAGTTCCAACTCAGTGCTAAAATAGCGACCCAATCGATCCTACCGATAACGACTTCCACGTCCAGTATGCATGTCTGTTTTCTAATACCGTAAGGTTTAGCTTCTCCTTTCTTTGTTTATTCCACAAATTACAAGGACTCAGGGACACAGAACAGAAGCCTTTACCTTTTTACTGCCTCTGCCAAGGAATCCTCGCGTAGAAGACAAGAATCTATCTCAACGGAAAGATCACTTAATGACGGATGAAATATTTTTCTTTGCGCGTTCTCCTCGACTATTCGTCCATCTAAAATGTGGAGCTGTTGAAAAAGAAAACCATATCAAGAAATACAGTAACTGTAGTTATCGTAAAAAATTCGTTCCAAATCTCCCCAACATTGCAGAGAGTCCTGCCAAAAAGTTCAATCACTCTTTACGAAACTGACCTTAGCACTTTGCTTTAATTATGCAAGAGATTCCGAACGTAAGAGGAAAAAAAAGAACATCGCTGACATTATCGGCACCGGTAGTCCCGGGGAGGGACTCCCATACAAAAGGGAGGGGGATGTTCGTCGGAAATTCTGTAAAGAAACCTTAAGAGGTACCAAGATCCTATTTTGTGGGCGTGGCTTGAAAATCGTTCTCCCCCAAGAGATACTACATCTTACATAATCCATTATACATTATCTCCTGAAATTTT